TGTAAACTCCCTCCCGTACTGGAAGATTTCACAAAACCCCCCAGAAGACAGCTACACTTTCTGTGATGGAAAGCTAGAACTATAATTGCCCTTGAAAGAGGGTAATAGCATTCAAGTACATTCGATGTATTTTATTACCTACTTTAGGTTCACCTGCCTGATTTCCAGAAGCATTGTACTGTCCAGCAATGCTTCCAACATAATTAATATCTGCCAAGACAACCTATCTATCACTCCAGTCTCAGTACACACAATGGGGAGATGACATGGATTGCTGAGGACGCACCCTAAAGAGCTTCTCTGATTTTCAGGGCTGAGTGGGGCCACCCCTTTTCCCATGGAGAAACCCCATCAGGTGAAGGAGCTGTGCTGAGCCTGGGTGGTGCATGAGCATAAACCAAACACATGGTTACTTTTCTGTAACATTTGTTGCTGCTGTAGAGCTTACTTAAATTCCTCTGTGGAAGCAATCCCTTCTGCAGTAGTAACAGGGACACAGCAGGATTGGGTATGGATGTTTGGTAGCACCTGCAACACAGCTTTGACTGCTCTCAGCAGCCTGCAGGCACCCGTCTGCAAATGTGCATCAGCAAAAGCAACCTTCCCAGTGGTGAATTTTTTTCTTTAAACAGTGTGATTTAGGGATGGGTTTTCACTACCAGAACAATGTTGAAAGAGGCTGCATCACTGGCAGCTTGACAAGTCATCCAGGAAGTTACCAAAGTAATGAAGAGTCGGTTTGGCAAAGGACACTTAAAAGTCCTGAAGCTGGTGGGAGTAGCAGAGCTGCGTGCATCTTGTAGAAACTGGCCACAATTAAGCACTTTTGAAAGTCTGGATGTTAATAGCCAGCATCCTCAGTCACAGAATCTGGGCATACGACAATAATGGAAGACTGATATCTGCAAAATTATCTAAAGAGAACAACAAAACACAGTGCTGAACTAGATTATGGAGACCAAGCACTTTGTTCTCAGCAGTTTACAGCAAGATTATTTCTGCAAACAGAAGAGGCCCAGAACTTCACAGAAAAAACACAGTTTCATCTGGCTTCATTTTTGATTGTGGGATGGCGCTTCCCAGAATGAAGAAGTCCATGACAAGGTATATCATGGCAGCACGCAGGGGCCCCAGGAACCAGCAGGTGTGGTCTTGTCCCATTTGGTCCCAGCAGCACATTTAGACCGAAACAGTGTTTGACAAACTGTATCCTCTCTGCAAGGCTGCTGTCCAAAAACCACTTCCAGTTTCCTAATAAAAGCCTCCAGAAGCGCTCTGGACCTTTTTAGTTTTGGTTTGGTTTTTAAACATGCTCTATAGTTGTTGGGTTTTATTTCCTTACAGAAACATTTACTTGAAGAAATCTCACAGCTAAAAGTCCCTAAATCCTTTATTACATTAAAAAAAAAAAAACAAAAAAAAAAACAACAAAAACAAATCCCACCACCTCCATTTTATCTTTGCATGTCACATTTGTTCTAGGCCCAGAATGGGAACCATTCCTTTGTTTAAACAAAGCTCCAGTAAGATCTGGCATCCTCTGCTATCTTTATTTGTCCTTCCTAGATGTGTTATTTTATATGTACACACAAGAAAGCAGAAAATTGATAGTCTCCCAAAGACAGCAGATGCCAGCAGCACCCTGCTAAGCCCAAGCACCTAGGCTGCAGGGAGGCTAAAAATACAATGTGCAAAGCTCTACCTCCTGTCCCTGCCCCCAGGTCCCACCAGGAACCACCAGTACTGCAGCTGGGGTGACTGGTTTGAGAAACAATGGCAAGAATTTAGCGCTTCAACTATGCACACGTTACACAGAGAACAGGCTCCAGCCAGGCACCTTCACCCCCCAGGGTCTAATTAGAGAGAGTTTTGTCATAGGTGGTATCCTCAAATTCCCACCTGGTTATATTTTCACCCACACAAGTTGCCCAGGCTGATGTTTATATGAAATTATTAACAGGCACTTCAGCACAGAACCAAGGGTTTGTCCATGCAACGCAGGTATGCCTACAGCATGGTGAAGGCATACTGTGCTCCTGCTCTAATTAACTCTACCCACCACTGACAAAGTCCTCAGCACTGCTTTGAGTCCCCTGCAAGTGCCCTCAGTGTCCCAGCCAGTTTGTCCAGTGCATTTCAACCACAAGGCCCATGAAAACCACCGCAGGTATCTTACCTGCACAGTAACCAGTGTTACTGGCTTGAACCTTTCCATGCAATTATGAAAGAGGTTTCACTTTTAAGAGCACTTTATCAGAAACGTTTCCTGGAGCTTCTGTTCCTTTTTAGGCCACATCAGCAATACCAAACAGAGAAAGAGGAATCAAAAGCAGCAGAAAACAGAAATACTTGTAACGTTCACAAGCAGCAAGAGCTACCATACCGAAACAAGCAACAGGGAAAATACAACTGTTTGCTACTGACTCCGGATGGTCATTTTGAACTGCATAGCCCTAACAGCAGCAAGAGGATGGTACCACAATAGTACATGTCACCTATGTACAAGTTCTGCAGTGTGAAGCAATCCGACGAACTGCCCTTTGTGCTGAAAGAGCAATTCCATGTGGTTTGGGATTAGACCCTCAGAGTGGAGCCAGCATGGGCAGCCCTAGCCTGCTGGTGGTGCAGGAGCCTTCAGAGCAGCCTGGCCACAACAGATTCAGATGAACTGCTCGCTCCTTCCAGCCCATGCAAAACTTGAGGCAGCCACAATCAGCAGGGCACAGCAGCTCTGAGTTTTGTCAGGACACATCTGTACTCAGAGCCACTCAGCAATGCCTCAAAATATTATTCACTTTTTCCATGATTTCTCTCCTCTGAAAGCAAAGACCATTGTCTTGTATCTTTTCAAAGCAGTCAGAGCTGAGCAGTCACTGATACCTTGGTATAAGCTCAGCACCTTTTCCCATCTAGCAGGCTACAGACTTTCTTAGAAGCAAGTGGCCAAGACATTAAAAAAAAAATAAATCAAGTTTTTCTCAGGAATCCTCTGGCTTTCAGAGGCTCTCATTTCTATTTTGACCTTTCATACAGTGTGACAAGTCTCAAGTGTTTTAGGAAAACAGGCTCGTTCAATAGTGTTAAACACAGTATGTGAAAGGACAAGACAACAGCATTTACGTTTTGTTACTGAAGAATAGCATGTGTACAGAGAGGCACGCGCACACTTCTAGAAAAGTAATTTTACAAGTGGCAACCCTCAGCCCTGCTTCCTCAAGACCTCAGTGCCACAAGTCTGCAGGTCAGTACCGCACATGTCACATTTGGCATGTCTCTTCCATCCCTCCCACCAACATTCCCAGCTGGCAGATCCACACACCCCAGTGCCAGGTCACTTTTGACAGAACAACGCTAGGAGAGTTTATCCCAAAATAGTCAGGGAAAACTGTCTGCTAAGGAGGAAGAGAGACCTTGTTTTTCAGCACTGTGAACACCACAACTGACAGACACCCACCATTTTAATATCCACTCCAAGTTTTGCTCAGCATCACAAATACCCCCACAAAGGCTGCCAGAATAATAACTAACAAGAACAGTCTTCACCAAGACCAAATTAAAGCCGTAGGCTGTTGCCTAGCTGTCACCCAAAGGTTTATGTGCAAGAAGAATGATGTGCCCACTCCCTCCATAAACCCCAGCACAGCCGCCAGCACTGGCCTGCCAAATGGCTTTGTTTACCGACACACCTTTACCTGAATGAGTTTACAAAAGAGTTTTCATTCATAAGTGCAGTTATTTTACATTCGAGTGAGTTAGGGAAGGTATTTAACTAGCAGGGAAGTACTTTCCACCATTTCACCCATGTTTTATCAATATGATTATACGCCAGGCAGTGTAATTCTTTCACTGAAGCCCTATGGATCCAAACTCTAGTATGAACCCAATTTTACAGTTGCAGCCAGACTACACTGGTATATAAACATGTTCTTTTCTGTAGCAGGGTAGCCCCTAATCACCTTTACACGAGGTGATTGGGGAGGGACCCTTCAGCTGCACAAAATCACTCAGAGCAGCACAGCTGTTCATCATTACAGCATCTGGTATTTTTACTGCAATGACAGTAAGGCTCCAGCCACTCTGCTGAAAGGATTCCCCATAACCCAACAGGTTACTGCATCTCTAACAAGTCGTACATTTAATTGTGTTTCTGTACTGCCACATACAGTCATACTGACACAACATAAAAGCATGCTAGTTCAAGGGCAACAGCAAAATGTGTGGGTGGGCAAGGCACCGTTCTCAGTTTGGGGACACAGCTGTGGTGCCAGCTGAGCTAGTTCTGCAGGAGACCATTAATTCTAGATCTTGGACATCACCAGTGAAATCTATTTTGCCTCACTATGAAAATTTCAGGTTCCACATGGCTTTTAATGCTAGTAACTACTCTGATTAAAAAAAAAAAAAAAACCAAACAACAACAACATAAAACCAAAACATAGGGCTAGAAGTTAACTTTTCTTCTGAAAGACAACATAGAGCCTTTCTGAAAGCAGCACAGTGTTATAGATGTATACATGCTCTAGTGCAAGGAATATGTAGCTATACAAGCTTAGGTGTTTGGAGAGCCTTTCTGCCACAGGTGTGGAAACTTGCCAGACCCACAAAACATGAGACAGGAGATCTGGGGTTTATTAGCTTTTTGCTCTTGGATGTTAGCTGTTCTTCATCCCATGTCTCTACCCACATCTACCAGCTTCATTAGGGAATTGTGGCACCTGCCTCATACCGTCTGACTGCTCTTAGCTTTTAGCAGGTGCAACTGCAAGTCAGGAGCTCCCCGCTGCTACACTGGGCCACCTCTGTGCATCCCGGGATGGGCAGAGGAGCGCCACTGCCCAACTCTTCTCAAACACACAGAAAGCAAACACCTGCTGTACCAAAGATTAAAGCCTCTCAGCTTTTACCATGTTCTCATTCAGCTCAATAGAAACAAACGGTGCTTGTAGACTTTATCATGGTATTTACACACTTTCTACACCATAATAAAACCAGAAATTTACCAGTAAAAAGCAATTTTGTCCCCGAGTTTCTTCTCATTGACATTTCTGTCCAGGAGGTTGTAGCAGATGTTGGTGGTCGCCCCTTTCATCCACTCAACGAAGATCTTCCCCTTTGTCACATCGAAGTTATACTTCAGAAAGGGCCCCGTCTGCTGCCTCTTCCAGTAAAACTCTTTAGCAATGTCACCCCAAAATTCTGCAAAGGCAACGGCCAGAGCTCACAGTCCAGAAAGCGGCACGTCTAAGGAAGGCAACGCGTCACGGAACGAGCGAGGCAGCCCCCGCGCTCCCGCTCCC